ACAAAAAAAAAAAAATAAAATAAAAAATTATGCTATAAACTTACAACCATTATGGTCACACACACACAAACACACACAAAGGACATAGAAGCGATAATAACCTGCTTGAAGTAGGTATCCTAATCCGCGATAGTCTAAAAAAAACACCCTCCATAGCATCCTCATCAATCAAGCTCAAGCATGAACATTCTATGAATCCAGTCTGCGAACATGCTGGGCTCACCCAAGTTGAAGGCAGATGTGTGCTGGGACGTTTCAATTAGTGCCACATCAGAGCTAAAAAAAATACAGTAAAAATAAGCTCTATCAAATAAAAATTTTAAAAAAAAACCAAATGAACAGCGATATATATTAAACGAACATGAAAACTTGAAAAAATGCATCAAGATTTAGGATTTCGGAAATTTGAATGTGAAACTCACATTGAGGAATATGATATCTTTAGAAATGCGCGGAGGTGTCTCTAAACGTTCGCGCATAAAATTTGAAAATTGGGTAGAGCTTACTCCTTGGTCGAATTTAGCCGCTAAGTCACGTCAGTAGGGTTTTTGTTTGACGACGATCTCCTTGTCGTTTAGCCGCTGATCATTTGAAACCAAAATGATCAGCATTAGCTCAGATTACTCCCAACGCCCAAAATGTAACTATATATTAAACAGTCATTCACTTTAAGGACTTCTACAGGTCCAATTCAACCAACAAACGACATTTAATCGCAAAAAAAACCAGAAGATCGGTTCACCTTCACTGTGCCATGTCAAAATTCAAAGATTAATAACAAAAAAATGGAAAAAATTATACAAAAACAATAAAATACCAAAAAATCCCACAATTTATTGTTCCCAATTTTTATATTTTTTGCAATAAAACAGATAAGTAAAACAATTAAATAATGTATTAGCTTCCTTCAGTACCTCTGTCTCACCTCCAACCTGCACTTTATCCTCTGAATAATTCAACTAAATCCAACGCATTAAAGTGACTTTATCAACTAACTTCCCACTTCACTCATCAATTAAGAATCAGCTCTATATGACAGTCAAACCAAAATACAATAACAAAAGCAGGTATATAATAAAGCCTTCACATGAAAACAGATGCACAAAACTCAAACTCCCTTCAATTCTTTCTTTTCAACCAAAGCCAATTCCACTATAAATACTTGAAGAAATCATCATCAGTTCTTGAATTTCTTCACCAAACACCCCAGAAAAAAATAATAATAATAAAATAAAATGAAGAATAAAAATTTGCAGGCAAAAACCTCAGAGAAAAATCCACCAACAAAACAACCACATTATCCAACTCAAACTCCAAACTTAACCAAACAAACCCAGAAAACCCTTCAAATAAAACCCCCAATAAGCAAAATTTCTCCTAGCTCACTTCAGATCTCAATACTACTCCATAAAGCAATATCGCTAAACTGACCAAACCCGCTTTCATTTTTCCTCAGTACAGACGAACTTCAACCACTTGAACCCAAGGGTCTTTAGTTCCAAGATCGGATTTTTTTCGCACAAGACAGTAAGATCAAACTCATTGATGCACGCACGTGCTCTTACTGAACACAAGCACAACAATCATATATATATATATATATATATATATATATATATATATATATATTCCAAAATAAATCTATAAATAAATAAATATTTATATAGTGGAAATGGTAAGTACTGAGATAACTCAGTATATGTTTATCAGCTTCTCACATCATAGTAGTCTGCAAATATTTAAACAATTCGTATTGATATCTTCAGAAATGCGCGGAGGTGTCTCTAACCGTTCCAACATAAAATTTGAAATTTGGGTAGAGCTTACTCCTTGGTCGAATTTAGCCGCTAAGTCACGTCGGTAGGGTTGTCGTTTGACGACGATCTCCTTGTCGTTTAGCCGCTGATCATTTGAAACCAAAATGATCAGCATTAGCTCAGATTACTCCCAACGCCCAAAACGTAACTATATATTAAGCAGTCATTCACTTTATTGACTTCTAACAGGTCCAATTCAACCAACAAACGACATTTAGTCGCAAATAAACCAGAAGATCGGTTCACCTTCACTGCGCCATGTCAAAATTCAAAGATTAATAAAAAAATGGAAAAAAGTTAAAACTGAATCGCGGTGCTTGTTCTCCGGTACTTCCTGCCATAATAAGATCATGAAACAAAACAAACTCAATAGGGAAAAATGTCCAAATTCAATTAACTTTTTCCAGTGGAGGGTTGTGGGAATATCAAGCACAACTTTCAGATAAACAATATAACCAAGATAGTTTTATCAAGTAAAAATCGTCCAACAGCAGCAAACAAAAAATAGTTAAAATGGGGTTTTCCGGCAACCCCTCCGAAACAACGACGGCACCGGTAACTGGTGACATCCACAATCGCAACCAATATACAACATAGAAAAAAATTTAAAAAAAACCAAAGAAATCAAACAAACAAACACATACCTTTTAGTAATGTCTCAGTCGTCGTCGTCTTCCACATGGCCAGAAAACCACCAGAAATTGATTGCCACTATTAAATTAAAAAAAAAAAAATCCAATGTGATTTATGGTTTCGTTTGAGAGAATGTTTACCTGCCGCCTACGCTCTTTGTGAAGGTTCTCATTGAGTTTGCTTCATAGCTCGCAATCACAAGAAACCCAACACAGATTCTCAAAATTAACCAAGCGTGACCATCCAATTTTAGGAATCAAGCATAGAAAATAAAATTCCACCCCATTTCCAAACCATAAAAATGCAAGACAGAAAGGAGAATCAAGCCTGAAAAGGCCATCCCAAAATAGATTGAACAAACTTATATAACATGATTTAGGTCTTAAAAATGAGTAGGTTGAAGCTAATGTAAACCTTGCAGGAAGGCGATTGAAATGGGCCCAAAGCTGATCATTGAAAGATGGCTCCTGTGCCTCTGGATGTTCGGACTCCTTCAGCCGCCGCAGAACCTCATTGTAAACCTCCACCTCCTTCCGCTGCTGTCGGCTCTTCCCGGAAGATTCAACCACCCTACTCCCACAACCCTCGTTATCCTCAATCACCATTCGAGTTCGAGATTCTCAACGACACCACAAAATTCCCCACGATTACAACCGCCAGCGGCTTCATCTTCTCTAAATACCGGTCAATTGGGATTCTCAATTCAACGTAGAGTAAATAATTCTCATCGGTTGAGAGGATTGAGGATTTGCAGGAAATCGATTGTGCGTGGAAAGAAGATTGTGTTTAATTTGGTCTTTTGACATGATTGTTGCGTGTGACAGAGGCAGTCTTCCGGTGGAAGCCAAACAAACCTAAAATTACAATATCAACCCTTACGTTGAGTCAATGCAATTCACAATTCAGTAATCTCCCAAAAGTTTAAGCCAATTCTAAAACAAAATACGGACACATGGCAGCTTTTAAAAGCACCATAAATGGACACGTGTCGCCATATAAACAACACAAACTCTTTTGTATATATATAAGAGAGATATATGCGGTATATATTCGTCTGGGAATAGAATGTCCATGAAATTTACTTCAAAACCTGATTGCAATTATTTATAACAATTATGTCCATCAAATTTACTTCAAAACCTGATTGCAATTATTTATAACAATTATTTTATAAATAACTATTTATATTTGGTCAATATAATTATATTTGTAATTTTATATAATAATATACTTTATAGTTACTTCATTTTTTTTTTATTTTTTATTTCTGTAGTTAGAGTTAATGAAAAAAACATGTAATTAGTAAAAACTATATTAACAATAAAATCAAATTTACCTAAAAAATATATATAAAGATTAGTTATATCATCTTACGAAGTGGTATGTCAATTGGAGGGGAGGGGCATAAGCGTCGTGCACCCAGCTTCCCTATGCCTACGGGGTCTAGGACTCCGCCCGCGTACATGCCACTCCTACGCCCATCGCGCCCTGCTGATCCCTGGGCGCATGCGGGCTCGCGTGCTGATGCGGAAGTGGCTAGGCAGCTCAAGAACGCCGCAAGTCGATAGAATAAAAAAAACAAATACGGAATAAAAAAGTACAAGTGCGCATTGAACAAGTTTCATCAATACATACGATATTTTTATCTTCGGTTCGCCCATAGCGCTTGGGCTATGTTGTCACGCAACACACAATGCTCACCACTGCCGACGTTGGAGTTATTACTCGACATAAAAGGGAAAGTCCGATCAGTTGGATCATGTCGTCGTACGTATTCTGGGTTGCTGAATTCAGGCGGCATGTTTCCGAGCGGTTCATGCATCCGAATAAAATTGTGTAGGACACAACATGCTATTACTATGTCGGTTGGTGAGTGAACTTTGTAGTTTGACATCAACCCCTTTATCATGGGAAACTTCTCTTTTAGCAAAACAAAGCTGCGTTCGATAAAATTACGGACAGTGGCATGTCGTCTGTTAAACAGCTCACGAGCATTGTCGGGCAATTGGTTAGACCCCAACCACTCCGGAAGATGATATCTTTCACCATGATATGGTGTCATGAAACCCGTAATGTGTGCATATCTGGAGTCCACCACGTAGAATAACATACCTTTTTTACTTAAAGGAAGGAAGTCGTTATAAATAAATTTGAACTTGTATTTACTTTAACTACATTATAACATTTTATAGTGTCATGGCCAATTTACCAGGTGGTGGATAGGGGAAATTATATTTGGTGTCCGACAATGTCTGATTGAAAATGCGTGCATCGTTTGCGGTGCCTTCCCACCCCACTAGAACAAAAGTGAACTTGAGGTCAAAATCGCACGCCAACATCACATTTTGCGCTAAATACCCTTTCCTACATCTGTAGGAACCCTGTTGTCCTTCTGGCACCCACGCAGGTATAATAGTCCCGTCAATTGCGCCAATGCAGTCCTACAAATAGAAGATTCAATTTCAATAATATATAGGTACTTTTTTTCAAATTAAAGGTGTAGGACACATTAAAAAATAAGAAAGTGTTGAATTTACCTTGAAGTAGGGATATAAATTCCGGTTATTTCTTATCCACGGTGCAACACGGTTGAAGTCTGGAGGACGAATGTAGTCGGGGGCGAGATAACAAAGAGCATTGATGACTTTGACAATGACGACTGATTTTCTCCCTTGATTTTCTGAATGTTTCAGCCGCAAATCGTTGCCTTTGATGCCCTTTTATTGTATGCAGAAAAATGGCTATGCTTTCTTCCATGCCTATTTTTGCTTGTTTTGTTTTTGGGTGGAATCCAACCCTTTTGATTTCGTCACAAAGTATGCTGAAATGACATTGATTTATGCACATTGCATCTTTAAATCGGCGAGAATTTCCAGCTAATAATTCATTTACCCAGTCCAAACTCGAGTACGTGGATTCTCGGTACGGGATTCTTCTTAATGGGGGAAATTTGGACGCCGAACTCTCGTAAATGTTTACAAGTTGTTAAAATTGGGCCCCATCATTAACGAAGTTTCCAACGGGTCGTAGTCTTCCACCGTCTCGAATTCGCTATTAATGTCCTTAGGCAAATCATCGATCTCATCTTCATATGTGTCACTATCATCTACGTAAGACATCCTATAAATAAATGTAATAGTGGCTAAAAACACATCCAAATGTTCACAAACAAACTGTCACATTAATCATGCAGAAAAATTTCAAACAGAGTAGCTTGGAAACAAAGTTCAAACAGAGTAGAGTTGAAGACAAATAGAAAACACACAAGTCCAACAAGAATTGAAGACAATAGTTAAAAACCAATCCACTAATCCACATCCCCACCAATCCACATCCCCCTTCATTGTGGACCGGGGCCCTCATTAATCCACATATTAATAATATGTTGACGCCTCTCGTCACTAGTAATCGCGGCAAACATGGTTCGGTTCGTGGGTGTAACACCTCGGTCAGTTAATAAATCAGAACCGTTTCACTTGCTCGACTATAAAGTGGAACCGATAATCTACAATTTCCTAGTTGGTTGACTTAATACTTTTATTCCATGAATTATATGACTTTATTTGTTTACAATGCCTTATTATTTGTATGTATGTGTGATTATTTCATTATAGTGTTCGAAATATTTCGTTCAAGCAATGAACCGGGACTTAGCCGCTTTATTTTTTTTATTTTTTTACCATGGGTGGTCCGTGTATTTAGTAGGTTCATTAGACATTTTTCTTAGTCTGAAGCATGCCTTAAAAGCATTAGTATAAGTCAAGTCATTAGTCATTGTTTATGCTAATTTTTTTTCAATCATGGGCATGTTATTTTATTAAATGCGTAAGGCCATGTCTCCCATGATCCCTTAGTGCAATAACCTGACTTTCTTTAGCCCTTTTGTTAGCTCACTAAGCTCGGTTATGGCAGCATGTGATGCCTTGAGATGCTCCTCCATTCAAGCCTAAGAGTTAGTGCCTATCAAGCTTTGTCTCCCCACTAATTATCCTAAGTTTTCACGCCCCTTAGACCCTATTTAGGACTTAGCTCAGCCTTATCTTATTCCTCATTTGTCTAACAGAAAGTACTTAGTAGAGTTGTGAGGAAAATCCAGAAAATACTTGAGTTTGTCACCAAAGCCGAGAGCAAACAAGAGTTTTGCCTAGAGCCATTTTATGTTAGTACCAAGTTTATTCCAAGTTCTAGCAACCTAAATTCGAGAACCCCAGCTATATAATCATCCTACATCATCCGACTCTCATCCTAGAAGCATTTAGTGCCAGCAAACTCAAGAAATCAAGCTAAAGAAAGCAAGAAGCTACAACAATACGAGGACCGAGCAAGACCGAGCATACCCGACTTTCTTTGCATTTTTCTTGAAGATTAAGAGGTTGGTGTGCTCAAATATTTTTAGAATCATAATATAAATGAGGTAAGGAGTAGAATGATATATATATATATGTGTGCCATACATGTTCAATTTTTAAGTAGTTATAAGCATGCAAGAAGTTAAAGTTGTCCCAGCTCGCATGAGTATTTTTATGTGTTGTTTGCTTGCATTTTTAGATATGCTATGAAAAACCTAGAAAACTATGCTTTATATGGATGTTTCTGGTGTAAAAGAGGAGTACATAGGATCAAGAATCAAATCTTTTGGACTAGTATAACTCGAGTTATAGATTTTTGAAGTTAAGTATGCAAGTTGTTTTTTATATGGCAGATTTCAGCTACGACTTCAAACGCGAATAACTCGAGTTCTACTCAGGATAAAATTATGAAATTTTATATACATGTTTATATATGAGTTAAGAGATTTCATATAATTTCATGATTTTATCTTAAGAAATGAGCGAGTTCTATATTTTAGACCGTATGCATGTCATGTTGAAATATATGGTCATAGAACTCCCTCAATACATGCATATTTGATGTGAAATTTTAATGAGCATTTCTTGTATGAGTTATGAGTAATTTTACAAAGTTTCAGCTTTAGAAGCTAAGTGTGGGATTTTATAAAATTCCGAGAAGTTATAGGGGTCAAATGCATGTTTAAGTGCAAAGTTTATGTAATTGGTTGACTAAGCTAATGACATGATAATGAGATGAAATTTTCACAAGAGATGTATGTCTGTATAGTATTTAACTGCTAAGTTTCATCATTTAAAGATTTAAATATGATTTTATAAAAATCATGAGATTTGAGGGTTCCTTTAGCTTATTTTGTTAAAATAAGTTAGCATGCTTAGACTTGAGTGATTATCCCTCAATTAGTATTATTTAAATTAAATATGATATGTTTGATTTAATATTTAAGAGATTATCTAAGTAGATATATTTCTTGAATATTTTGGTAGCTTAAGGAGAGTCGAGCCTCCGACAGCTACCCCAACATTTCAGCACTTGCGTCAGTCAGATATTTTTACAGTATGCCAGGTGGGGGTCATGTACTGGATTCCACATCATATATAATATATGTACCATGGAAGAGGTATGTTCGAGACAGTTAGTTTCTCCCAGGTGGAGGCCGAGGGCCTTAATATCCCATCTTGGGACCCGGTGGAGGCCAAGGGCCTTAACATCCCATCGGGGTGTGCACACGAGCAGCCGAGGGCCGAGGGTCTTTTGCCCACAGTAAAGCAAGAAAAGAAAAGTTTACAGTTTAAGCTCTTATATATTTATGTTCATGACACGTTATTATAAATGCTGCTTTATTCAGTACTGGTCTTTGCGGAGCATAGTGGTTTGCTCACTCACCCATTGTGTTTTTCAGGAGACGGAGTCGAGTGTGCTGGATGAGCACAGACGTGGTAAAGCGTGGTCATGAGAGTCTTGGACATTTTTACGCACATTTTATGTCCCAGTATTTATGATCATGTATTATTTAGATGCTTTCGCTAGCAGACTAGACAATGCGAGACAGTTCAGACATTGCATGTTTAATTCCATTATTCGTAGAGGATAGTTTGATTGCGTGTTTTATATATGTCTGTGAGCAAGTTAAGTAAGTTTTTATCTGTGACATCCCGCAATCAGTTAATATTTTCGAAACCAAAATCGCACGACCTTACGAAAATAAAAGCAAAAATTTTACTCTGATTTTTCAAAGCTAGTAAGGCGGGGTGTGACAGAAGCTGGTATCAGAGCGCAGAGTGCGTTTCTGTATACTTTCAAAGTTAAAAAAGCATGACCACGCCACTGTTAGAGGTATGCTGTAAAAGCTATGTTTTGCAGATTCTATCAATTCTATTTTGATCTGGCCATCATGTTTCGGTCAAAGTACATATGTTTGCAGTTTATTTATTTATGCAATACATACTCCATGTCTTATTTGAGGTAGTGTGGTTTGAAGTGTTTCGAACAGAAAGATCACCTATCGGTTCCTTATAAGACTAAATCATTCGTTCACAGTCTAGACTGGCAGTGAGACCCCACTTGGAAAAAGACTGTAGTGTATTCTTGATTCAGTTGGTCTTTGACTGGAGAATTACATTAGCACTTATGTTAAGTGTTGAACAGGTTCGCGGAAGGCAAAGGTTATGAGACTCACTGACCGTTGTTGTAACCTCGTCCTTCAGTGATTGATGCGTTCTCTTAAGCTATATAAAATAGGCATATATTTTTATTTCTTATTTATTTGATTTACCAAGTGATTCCTATTTTATTAGGATGACATACGAGGTATTTATTTGATTTTACCAAGTGATTCCTATTTTATGCAGGTAGACGATTGTCTGACATAATGGTTAAGGATCTGAGTGGTATTAATTTCGGAAATGAATAAGAAGTTGATTAATTATTTTGTCAGTAATTTAATTAATCAACGGACGTTATATCTTAAACATAGGGAGGTAAATCGATCAATCAGATTAATATTATTTAATCATGGAGGCTCGATTTTATTGGTAAAATAGTGGCTAAATGTGGAGAGCAATAATATAAGGGTAAATTGCGCCAAACCCCCCTGTATTATACGAAATCTGCGCCTTATCCCCCTGTATTTTAAAAAATGCGCCATACCCTTTTGTATTATACTTTTGACTGCGCGTTATCCCCTAAACCGTCTAACTTGACGGATGTGCATTTCACGCGCGTGTGGTGCGGCTTTTTCTCCATTTTTTCGCCATAAAC